TCCTGCTGTAGTTCATGATTGAAGCTTAACTACCTGTAGTACTGTCACAGCTGGAGTCTGGGTTTATTAAAAAAAAAGAAAAAGCATTGTGGTATTTTCATTATTATATGCTGTCATCTGCTAATACATGTGTTATTAGACAGACAAAATAAAAAAGACACTGCAGTGCAAACTGGCTCTGGTGCTTTTTTCTCTCTGGTATTTTCAAAGTCACCTCCTTCCAACGCTGCATCCGTACAAACATGGCTGCTAGCTCAAATACTCAGACTTAAGGGTCTGCTAAATGCCATCCAGGCTTGTCACAGCTATGCAGAACAATAATCCACAGCTTGAAGGGCAGGACACAAAAAAATGGCATATTTTTGTTCCACCTCCATGATGATGTGTATACACAGGATGGTTAACTACGATAAATTGGCCCGAAATTGGCCAATGAGTTCAGACGCGCTTGTAATGCGGCTTAAATTGCATGCCCTTTCAGGCAGGGGAACAAGCCTCCTCAATGTCAACGCTCCCTCCCACATGTTGAGTGCTTAGTTTGCCATGCAGTACAAGATCTCCAGGCCTGTTTAGTATTCACCCACTTGAGTTTCCAAAAGGTTACCAAACCTAATTAGACATTTATGCAGGATCTTCAAAGGTCCCTTCGTTATTAATGATGTGCTACTTCTGAGGACTGCATCGATGGCTTTTTTCTGACTCGAAGAGCAGACTCCTCACAATATGTGCATACACAATGGAGACATGCAGACACCCAAAATCTAAGCAGACGCTGGTGACTGGCTGGGAGTGATTACTGAAGTTATTTGCATAGATAATTATAGATGGGTGACAAATTGAAGAAAAAAAATGAGTTGTCTCTTGACAGTGCCACCGTCCACGGGGCATGAGGGGTCACTGAATCTCAACCCAGCTGGACACCTATGGGAGATGTCAGAGCGACATGTTAGACAGTGCCTCTACCACCATCATCAAAACACCAAATGAGGGAATATCTTTTGGAAGAACAAGTTCAGAGACGTGGAGAGTCAATGCCAAGGTGCACTGAAGCTGTTCTGGTGGCACGAGGTGGCCCAGCACCTCACTGACACACTTTATGGTTTCCAGTCTGTAGGTTGAATTGGACACACAGCCACTGTATACATTATTTTTCCTGTGCTATGGTACAGTAAAGGATCAAGCGCACTAAAGAAAACCAGTCCTACAACAACAACACAGGCTGTAACAAAACTAAGTCCTGTAAAGCACCATTTCAAAATAAAAGCAGTGGAGTCCTTCCATTAATGGTACATCATTTTAGTCATTTACAAAGGTGAGGAAAACAGCTGATAAACTCCAATAATTATGTAAAATTTACAGCTGTAACTAACTGTTTCCATTAAAAACTAATTTGCTGATTATTTTCTCAAATACTCGATTAAGTGTTTATTCTAAAAAAAAGTCAGAAAATAAAAAGACATCAGCTGCCACAGTTTGTAATGTAAAAATACTCTACGTATTTAGGTATGCAGGTCTAAACAGCCACATAACCCAGAACATACAATGCCTGTAAGTTGAGCATATGTTTGTAAAATCCTATGAACTATAGCTGCTACTTAAGGAAAACAGACAGAATAATAAAAATAAATTACTGTAGCATAAATGTTACATACAACACAGACAACGTTCACATTAGCTTAATGATTTAAATGATTAATCAGCTTTTTCATTATAAACAGCATACTCTAGTGAAGGATGATGGCATACACTTTTCAGAGTAAATCATCGGTTTCCACTGACTGATAGATCAGCTGATGAGTTAATTTGTTTTTCTCACCAAAAAACACAAATTTAAATTCTACCACATAACGGAAGACTGGATGTCAGTTTTTAAGTGCTTTCTTTTGAGAAAACCAAAAACCACGGTCAAATTATTTCCTTATTCCCAGAATTTGAAAGTGTCTTAACATGATTATCTCAGTTATACAGTCGTGTCTGCATTCTATCTCAGTAGAGCCCAAAGTAAATGTGGTTGACAAGACACCCCAAATAAGAGTTTCCCTTTATTTTTTACGTTTGGACTTTAATCAATTATGAATGACAGCTAATTAGTGGGGTGCAGGAGCCATCACTCAGTGCAGTGTCAAAGTCTACTAAATATACTCTATGTCATGGGGTGTGGACATTGATAAAAAGCCTCTCACCACTTTACAGATTTGAGTGTCTTTTTTCTGAGAAGACTTCACTAATCATCTGTGAAAGTACGCACAGTGTGTGTGTGTGTGTGTGAACTTTGACACGAATGTGTTTGATAATAATAAGGCACGTGAACATGAAGAGGAGCTAAACTGTACAAGTCATTTCTCATTTCCTTGCTTCAGTGCCTGTCAGAAAAAAAGCCCTGCATTTTGAATGATGGCTTAGACAACAAAGAGTGAACAAAAGTAAATGAAAGAAAACACAAAGAAAAAGAAAGTATGCAAACATAAAAAAGATTAATACACAATTTAAAAAAATAACCAAACCATCAACCAAACAAAACAAATTCCCAATATCAATATCCCAATATCTTTATAATACCCCTGAAAGTTTAACAGAGAAAAACATTACCTACAGTTGGTGCTCATACAGTTTTGGAAGGACCTTTCAAAGGGCTGATTTAATGTGAGAGCATCAATCCTTTAGCAGCACAGGGCCCTGACAGCAAATGAAAGTAATCTCTTCTTTATTAATGGGACTTTTCACTTTGGACCCGAGGCCTTTTGGTATTCCACAGTAGTAGTTTCATACCACAGGCCTAAGGAAAGAACAATATGAAACCAGATCAAATGGATGTGTTATGAATGATAAGTGAAAAGTCTTTCTTTCCAAATTCAGAAGCAGCCTTTAAGAAGTTAAAGTCTAAAAATAGCTCATAGGACACTGTAGATTTCGATCTCCTGGCATGTGAACTGTAGGAAACACATTATTTAGTTAAGTTCAAGTTAAAATCGCTGGTTATTTTAATTTTTGTTTGGTATCAGTGAGGTTGGCCTTCTTTGTGAGATACTATAACTACTGTACTGTTCTTGAAAGGTTAAAACTAAAAGCTAATCTGCATCCAAAACCCATTTTTGTGAATCTGCGCCGGTGACAGCGACGGCTGGATGCCGATGTCGCGTTTTCAGGTTGTCCATCCCATTTTTGTGAACACGATATCTCAGGAACGACTTGAGAGAATTTCCTCAAATTAAATACACAATATATTTTATTAAATTCCTTCAAAGTGTTTACTACTTATAGTCTGGACAGCATGTAAACTGCAACTTGATTGGTTGGTTGGTGGAGGCATACAGCTGCAAGGTGGTAATTCAAGTTTGTTATCTGACTCCTAATGATAATCACATTAAAGAGCTTAGAAATATCGTCTAAATCTGAGGAAAACTCAGAAACACTTATTGCTGTGCTCCTTACACTGAACCTGTAAATTTACAGTGATTAGTAAAACATTTTTTCTAAACAGTGGGTCATTGCGCTGCAAACAAACATTAGGGTCCTTCCACACAGCTGAAAAGTACACAGTTGTGAACAGGGCTTTTTTTTTTAGTTTTTAGTTTAGGATTTTGAGCTAAAAAAAAAAAAATTTAATTTCTACCGCACCGTTTTGGAACATGGAAATTCAAAAGCTGACAGACCCCCAGTGTAAAACTGTTTCTTCAGCCAGATCCATCACCCCAAAACAGAATTCAGCTTGAACCACTAAATGTCTTGGTCATAAACCAGTGGCCCCACAGCATATCAACCTGTCAGCCAGCTTTTAAACAGTCACACAGCCATTACACCCCAAAACAGCCACCAATCAGCCTCTGATATGCAACAGAACAAGTTCCTGTATGCTGTTATTACTACTTATTAATTTCATTTCAAATTGTGCTAATCCCCAAGTCTCAAGGCAATGAAGGGAAGCTCATTAATGAACCAGAAATAGCAAAGGATCACATGAAATACAGTCTGAAAATCCCCAAATATTAAAGTTTGCATAATCTTTTAGCACATTTGGTGCCAGACGACGGCACCTTTGCTGCGGTGATGGCAGCCTGATTATGTGTAAGGGCTCACACATGGAACTAATTTCTTCCAGTGTTAGTTTGCTTCACTATGTTAGTGTAGTGACTGTGGTTTAATATTGTTTAGTGTGATGTTTAGACTTACTGTTCACATCCTAATTCAAAAACCTCTATTCTGTTTGTGCTCAGTCGCTTACAATTTGAAATCAGTAATGGATTTTAACATACAAGCTTAAAGTTACAGATCCACTCCGACTCAACTGACAGTTTTATAATCTTTATGTTACAAATAATCCTACCATAGTAGCAGAGATCAGATAGAGGAATCTATAATGGTTTTAGATTGAAATCCTTGTCTCACGTGGCTAAAATGACTTATCGGTTTACTTATTTACCAATTATCCCTTTACTTTGTGAGTATTGTTTTATGCAGTTATTTTCTTGTACAAATAATTGGTTAACTGTAAATTATAATACTAATTCATCATCATCCACCTTTATTTAATCAGAAAACCAGTAATAAATATACACATTATGTATTAAATAATTCTCATACTATACTGTTTTACCAGTTAGTATACAGAAATCAACATAACCACTCTACGCTAACAGGAAATGAAATGAACAAATGTCTGCAAATTAAACCATACAGAGTGGATTTTGTTCATTAAAGACTGGTTATTCATTTTTGTTTTACAAGATTTCTCAAGAGCCACTTCACCACCTTCCACAGTTTGCTTCAACTTCTGTCATGGCGGTGACGGAGTCGTGGCTGACAAACAGCTGATCGTATGTGGGCTTTAAAAATCATAAAAGTGGTGTTCACCTGTGAAGATGATCTTGCTGAACAAAAAGTCTAAGTGTCATAAACCACTGTTTGTCACAGAGGTTATTGTCTGCAATAATCCAAAAGCCTATGGAAAAGCCCCATTGACTTTTTGTCGAAGGTGATGCTAACTTCTGGGTTGGCTTAAAAAAAATATGCAATCCCTACGGCATGCTATAATAACCACCAACAGCAGATTCGTAATCGATGCTGCTTGGATTGAGTAGACTTCATTTTGTTAGCCTCTACAATGAACATGCACAGAAGTATGGATTCGGGGTTTGTATAGCACACAAAATGTGTATTTTGGATCACAACTTACACACTACACTATTGTGATTGTCGAAATCACATCCAAATGGATGTGAATATTCATACTCTATAATTACATGCCCATTACCAAATTGCACATAAATGATTTGATCTCTTCAGCCAAACCTCAAGTCATTCATATTACTAATGATTTTTAACAAAAAAAGGGGTCTCAAAATTCTTTCAGGCGTCATTTGAATCAGCCTGGTGTCTACCAAATGGCAGCCCCTCTCAGAGAGCCTCCAGCGAGCATTGTGGCGCTCTGTGATGAGTGTGGCACAGCGTTTGAAAAGAAGAGCTGAATCTTTTACCTGTGTGGGAGACCAAAGAGCAGAGACAGTTGATGGAGCGAAATTCCTCACATCGCTATAATGGGTATAATTACACAAAGAAAAGGGCTGTTAGGTTAAATTACCCATGATATTCACCATGGTTAATGGCAGAAATTCAGAAGGTTAAATGACACCAGGAGCTGAATGACTTTTGACATTAAGGTACTATTGAAAAGGGAATTATAAGTGAGCCTTTATGGGCACATCCAATACCCTACATGTTGGACTGTAGAGATTGGTCTGAATAGACTTTTAAAAGGCTTTTTTGTGAATACCTGTGTCTTTAGAAGCCATTGTGAGACAATAATTTAGTCTAAAAAGCATTGGCCGGATAGATTGTTTCCCACAGTGGGAGCTATCTGAAGTTCAGTTAGAGTGATATCTGGAAATTGTCCTGTTGAGTGGCGCACCTACTCATACAAGGTAAAGATGAATAGATTCAATCAGTTAGTTGTTTCCCACATGTTGTCCTCTTACAATGAGGCATTTCAGCTAAGTTCCAAACAGGTCTGTATATGAATTTGTTCTGTTTTTAATCCAGTGCGAACTATACTCTGTGGTCTGAGCACTGACCTTCGCAAACGGCAAACAGCCCAATTAGTGGATGAGAAGGTGAAGGGAGCCCGACCTGATCACCATGCAATTACCTCAAGTCACCCTGCAAGCAGCCACCCACACAACTCACTGTGAGTTTCTGGTGTTTGCCAGTAATACTGCAAATGACCATGAAGAAAGAAGACAACCAGGCGCTGTACATTATGCATTTTTCCACAGTGCTCCAGCGGTTGTGTTTCTCAGGGGTTTCACTTCCTTCCAGTGAAGCCTTGGCCAACTTTTTCTCCTTGCTCAACTTTGCTTTGCTAAAGTTTTGCTGTCAGTCACCCATGTGCTCTCTCTGCTGCTGACTGGCTGACATGGGTAGTATGATTGGCAGCATAATACAGGTTAATCACATTTTTTATGCTTACTCTTCACCATATGAAATTCATTTGAGGATAAGGCTGATCAGAAATCAAAACCTCCAGTGCAGCACAAACTGTTAAGAACCAACATACTAAATGTGAAACAGCAACATGAATAATATAATATCAGAAATTAAAATTCACAGGTCAGTAAAACTGTAGGCATTATTCAGTAGAGTATAACATTGTTACACTGTAATAACTGCATTCATTAAAGCACAACTTGCATAATCCACATGACCTCAAATAAAGTCACCCCTGCTTACTCTACACTGTGCTTTCTATCAGTGGCAGTCTATGCATTCCACAAATTTAACTTTTAGATTTATCCCCACAATCTGTTTTTCTGTTTCAGTTCAAAATGTTCTAATATCTGCCAAATTGATTTTAACTGTGACTTCAGCAAGTGGACTTGGACAACCTGTTCACTCACTGCTGACAAATTCTCAGTGTGGGTGAAACTAGTTCATCCACTCAAGACAAAGTCACGCATAACTGATACAACATCCTGTGTCCGGATTATGTGATGTTCTACTGATGCTGCAGCACGTGCATGTACTCATCTTTAAACAATGTAATAGGCCTTAAAAATCTACCTGTGCAACTAATTTAAAACTTATCATTTCTAATTTCCCACATTCTTCCTTAAAGTTTTGTCAGGACTGAAGGGACGTGGTTAAAGCTACATGATTCAAAAATATTATGTTCACACGACTATGTGCAAAGTTAAGTGGTCACTTGTAGTGATGAACCAACTTTGCATTTCTCCTCAACTTAAAGAGCATTTTATCGTTTGTAAACTCACTGATTTGTTACCTCTGCCAAGGCAGGCGAAGTTTTTGCTGCCGTTTGTGTGTTTCGCAGTATTAACTCAAATAGCAATGAATGGATTTTGATTAAATGTTTGGCCCACAGAAACACCATTAGATTTTGATGCTGATCTGGATCATAATATGGATCCAGGATTATGCCTGAATCAGGCAGCTGTTTCCAGCAAAAGACTAAAAAGCACTAAACCCACTTGTCAAGCAGCTCACAGCCACTGTAAGGCAAGTATTAGTTTTCAGTAGCTGGTGCAGAACAAAACAGAGTTGAATGAACAGTGAACCAGACTTGTCATTACAACTTCAAATGGATGCTAACGGTGCTCCTTAGCTGCTGTGTAATTAGGGTACTGTTTTTCCATAACTTCATAAGTTGGTAATGTGTGACACTGTTGTAATTCCAGCTTATTCTGTTGCCTCCAAGTGGCAGTTTTAAGGTCAGGTGAAAGGTCACGAGTAAGGCAAAAAAAAAAAATACAAGAACACATCACTGACTTTTGGTAGAAGAAAGGACACGAGCTGCAGTCAGCACCCAACCTTGCACCCTGGCCTTTTTGCTGACTTTTGCAGCAGTGTAACTACATTATGGTACTTTCATTTATGCTGCTGTTGTTCTGCATGAGACATACATTCAGCAATATTTGACAATATTTGCTTTTAAGGCACTGACACAAAGTTTAACATAATTATTTAAAATCAGACATACCTGAACTCAAAACCCATTGTAGCTGAAATGTCATAACCTGAAATAATGTCATATGTTTGAAAAGTTAAACAGCACAGCAACAAATAAAGAGCTCAGTTATGAAAAGCATCCCGACATATGATTTGTATCCAAGGCTTTTATCTTGAAATAGCTCAATTTAGGAAATGCATATATTTTCTTACTTGCTCTCTGTGCAGTAAATATAAAGCTGCAGCCAGTAGCGGGTTAACTTAGCTTGGCATATGAACTGGAAACAGGAGGGAACAGATAGCCTGGCTCTGTCCAAAGGTTAAAAATAAGTCTCTTCTGAAGCAGACTTCCAAAGACAAAGCCTGGCTAGCTGTTCCCAAAATGGCCAGCTTTTAAGTGCAACTCTTGACTCAAAAATTAAAAGCCATTTAAAAATAAAGGAACCATCAGAAGATGGTATCCTCTTCTCCACCACCATGCCATGGAGTAAGTCTCACTAAGTATGGTCTGGGAGGACACACACTTTGCTCAGGTCCAATCTCAAAAGGAAGAGAGTCCAGTGAGCTCAGGGACCCTGTGGGAGACCCTGACCCCTCATACGCATAAGTCCTGAGGCAGTCAAACGGGGGGACGTAAGGATCCTGATCAGCCTCTGCCAACCTGTCCAGAATAAACTGCCTGAATACCTCGTCCTCTGGTCCAATGAGGTGCGACTCCCGGAGGGACATCCGAATGCTGGCCCTGATGTCCTCCTTCTGCAGCCTCCTCTCTCTCCTCCTAGGGTGAGGGCGCAGCGGGAAGACAGGCTGGCAGAACTCCAGGTCTGCTCCTCCGCCCCCGCCTTCTCCATAATATAGCACCTTCTGCGACACAGTCTCAGGCAGCTCCAGTTCCTTCACCGCCACCGCCAGCCCTTCCTGCTGTTTCCGCCTGTGTCTCCTCACCATCAGCATTAGAACTGACAGCACTGCAGACACAACACAGTAGGAGATCATTACATTTAAACACCAGGGCATGAGCTTGGTGAGGGAAAAGCATCCTGGGTGCCTGATGGAGCATGCACGTAGAATGTACAAATGCCCCTAAAATAACAGCAGCCAGATTAGTTTTTTTCTGCAACTTGTTATGGATGTAAAACTCTAAATGAGAGCAAATCAGACTTTAAATTATCTTTTTTAATTTCAGCTCAGACATAAAAGAATGCCTTTATTTGCTCCACATGGCACAGAATGCTAAAAGAGTGTTTATATTTTATGCTTTGTTTTCACAGGGTATTTTGCTCGTCCGACACAATGTTAGCATGGCAGGTACTGTCATTAATCTTTCATGTGATGGGCACAGGGAGGACACAAAGCAGCTGAGGTCATAATAAAGCTCTTCGCTATGCAAACCCATCAATGTCCCAGGTTGGCATTGCTACTGATGTATTGCAACCAATATGCTCATTACCTGACATCACTGCTCTGCAAGCATTCAGCATTTTAGAAGTGTGTGTTAAAGGCACGCTGGTGAGTTTTAAAAGGTGGATTCAAATTAAACTGCAAATTTGTTAATGAAAAATCCTGCTGTTTAACACACGTTTATATACTTGCCAAAATGATGAGATGATCTGCTCTAGCTCAACACATCTGCTGAAAAAGAATGACTTTTTTTTATAACAGTGAGATTATCTGATGTTCTCTAGAATTACCAGGGTTGATAGTAACAAAAACAGATAAGTCAGTTTTCATTTAGTTTATTAGCTAACTGGTGCTAAAAGAAAAAATGTAAGGCTAACTAGCATCATCGTTTGATACATTTTTGACTTACCTTACAACCTATTACTATATTTTGTCAGTACTTAGGCTCCATATCTAGAACTGACCTTCCAGCCTTGGCTTTTCATATCCTTGTTTTTAAGACAGACACAGAGATGATAGGTTCCAAATGGTAGAAATTTCCAAGAAACCAAACCCCAAACAGCCAGTGCATTTTTGTGTGCGCTGTATATTATTATTACAGTAATATTTTGACATTCTGAACAATGGGGGGGCGAATACAAGAAAAGACCATGCTGGCTTACCTGTGAGTGTGACCAGGCAAACCACAAACCCTAACAACGTCTGCAGGCTGACCCCCATAGACAGAGCAAGGGCCTCCACCCCTCCCGTTGGACAATGGCCTGCGGGCTGACAGCTGCACACGCCGACGGTCAGAGTGCTGGTGCTGGAGAGAGCTGGAGAGCCGCTGTCCATCACCACCACAGGCAGGAGGTACTGGGTTCGATCCTTGCGGGTGAAAGTACTCCTACGTGCCACGATGCTGGCTGTATTGTCTAAGTCAAGAGAGTGAGAGGTGCACTTTTCAGGCTTAAATAGCAACACTCAGCTCAGGGACTATTTTCTAATATGTGAATGCCATTGTTTCAGGGAATTCAAAAATAAGCTGCATAACAAGTGAGGTGACACATGCAGTGTGATTTAAAATACAACCCAAGCTCTCTGAAAGGCCTCGGCACTTTGTCCAACCTAATTTTCAGAGTAAAGTAAGTAAGTAAATTTGGAAGATCTGCGTCAGTTTCTGGTGTAACCTGTAAGACTTTTGATTTGATTTTGATTTGATTTATTCTTTCAAGCATGTAAAGACAGTTGATATGAAAACACACATAATTTTACACATATCCAACAAGTGCTAATCCAATATCAATTTGCTTATACCTAGTACATGCTTGAATGGAGTAGGAAGAAGTCAGACTTATCCAGTCCTACCCCATGACATCATCTTACCATCATTGGTTTGCAAGCAGTAAATAATTCTCTTCTACACCACACAAGTAATATACTAAAGAATTATTACAAAGTGTTAACATTCTTACCCCACACCCACAATGTTCCATGTAATTAATCATTAAACCTGTTCTTGCATATATCTTGATTGACACATACCTTTATATTTATGTTTAAACTTGTCAATTCTATTACTATTTTTTATGTCCACACTTAAATTATTCCATAGTTTTACCCCACTTATGGAAATACAAAATCTTTTTTTGGTTGTACGTATAGCATGAATTTTTAAATTTAACTGACCCCTTAAATTGTATCCCCCTTCCCTTTCATTAAATAGTTTTTGAATTCCACCAGGTAATAAATTGTTCCTGGCTTTATACATAAACACAGCAGTCTTATATCCCACTAAATCAAAAAATTTTAACAATTTAGACTGTATGAAAGCTACATTGGTGTGATCCCTATACCCCATCTTATGCACAATTCTTATCGCTCTTTTTTGTAATATATACAGTGGTTGAAGTGAGCTTATGTATGTATTTCCCCAGTTTTCAACGCCATACTCTAAGTATGGTAGAATCAATGAAGAATACAAAATGCGTAGTGCTTTCCCGTCCAAAATATATCTAACCCTTGCCAATATCGATATATTTTTTGCTATTTTGTGCTGAACATATCTGATATGAGATTTCCAGGAGAATTTGTCATCAACTATGACACCTAGAAATTTAATTTCATATACTCGTTCTATATTAGCTCCCCCAATTTTCAATTGAAGTTCATTATCTAGTCTACAATTCCCAAATACCATAAATTTAGTTTTATCCAAATTCAGAGATACTATATATTACTGTCACACCATTTCTTTATCTTCTCAAGTTCCTGTGTAACCCGTCCAGAGAGTTGTTGTAGGTTTTCACCCGATGCTCATATGGTAGTGTCATCAGCAAATAAGACCACTTTCACTAAATCAGAAACTTTGCATATATCATTAATGTATAATATAAATAATTTAGGCCCCAAAACAGAACCCTGCGGCACTCCACATACAATGTCCAGCTCACTCAATTGGTATTCACCCAACTTCACAAATTGACGCCTCTGTGTCAAATAACTTCTAATCCAATTCACGCATATGGAAATTCATTTTGTTAAAAGTGTTCCTTGGCTGCTGACTGGACTGCTGTGCTTACCTGGCTAACCACCTGTACACTGCACTTGCATACACTTAATTCTAAGTTATTCGACACATTCAGACATCCTTCTGTTGCACACACATGCTTCTTTGATTTTTACCATTTTTATCAACATTGAAAAAGTTTCGACTGCTCACTGACTACAAGGTTTACCTACTGAAGAGGCCATCAGACATTAAAACAGCAAATTACTTAAGGATTTCCTTCCAAACTATTTCAAAACTCTTGAAGGAACAGATTTTTCATTAAAATTCAAATTCTTGTAATCATCAAATTATACCAATCATGCTGAAGGTATCACTGCCCGTCATCCAGCAACTGGTTCACTGCATTTAAAGGAAAAATCTACCAAAACTTTCAATTCTGCTATTAATTTAAATCAAAACAGTAAATCAATGTTGACAAAAAACAGCTGTGTACTTTTGGAGATGGTTCAGTGACGGTGAATCTGTGGCTAATCGATACCTGATCAATATCAGACAAATCTATATACATAACTGCTGCAGCTTCATAGCTGCCCTGCAGTTCATTCACTGTAGCTTCACAAAGATTTCTTGCTAGATTTAGATGCAGTTTAAATTCAGAACTAGAGTTGACCCCCCACTGCCTTCCTCTGTACCACTACACACACCTCACCCCTTCTCATCTCTCCTCCCGGGACTCATGCAATACGCTTCTGTTACCTGTAACACTGAAGTGATCTGTTAATTTGCACATACTCTACTCACAGAATACTGTTGTTATTCATTTGCACACTGTTCATATGCAGATACTCTATATTTATCTTTGCACTATTTACATCAATTGAACTGTTCACTCATGTAACTTGTTTTCTTATTCTGCACTGTTTCATTCTATCTCATCCCATTGCACTAGTGTTCCATAAGCTTAATGTACCTGTCCATTACTGTAATTTGAATCCATAGTCTGCTGTACATCGTGCATTACCCTACATATCTTACTGTAAATATCACTTGTACATATCTATCGGTACATTAGTTCTGACTGTTCATATTGTAGATACTGCACACTTTTTACTGCTGTTATTGCACTTCTGGTTAGATGCTAAACTGCACTTCGTTGCCTTGTACTTGTACATGGGTAATGACAATAAAGTTGAATCTAATCTAGTATATAAAATAAACAATTTCAGCTTTAAAGTTGTATCACCTGATACTATTTACAGTCACAATTGGGATCAGGAACCATAGTACTGTAAATGTAAGAGGTTTTAGAGGCATTTTCAAACCAGAGGACCTTTTCCATAGTTCTTAGACCTGCTGAAGGAAGTACCCCCTTTTAAATGTACAGGTATGTGTGTCCGCACTACAGGATTTGAGGACGACCATAGATGTAGCAGCCTCTACAGAAGGTTAGCGGCATCTAACATATAAAAAAATACAGGTAATGCAAGGCCAGTATTAACCATTGTGAGCTTGTTGGGCAATCATTAAGCATCAGCCAGCTCAGCGTTCCTACTGGCGGTGTGAATACAAGCAGAAAAAAAAAAGCACTTGAAGGTATGTAGTTCCCAGGGAGCTCCCCATTGGGGCCCATCCCTATTAATGAGCCCCTAGAACCATTTGGTCTGAAAGCGCCTAAGGTGTGCCTTATTATGTAACCGAACATAACCTTGATTATCTCTGATAGTGAAGTTTGGATTGATGTGCTTCTCAGGGACCATAGAGAAGTAGAAGTGGTGTCCCTCTACAGGGTCGTCTGGATCAACAGCACTGAGCAGCTGAATGATCTGAGACACACAAAGACACATTAGTGAGCAACAAGCATGCACACAACTGATTTGCTAGCAAAATGCAATCATATGCAGTCTTTGTTTTTCTTTCCTCAAAAATATGACATTGTAGCAGCAGCTGAGAATGCAATAAATGCAGTACAGCACAGTGCTGTACAACAGTCAGATGGTTTCCTGTGATTCCCCTTTTAAAAAAATGTGCAGAACAACAAAATATTCATTAATGGAAATCCTCACTGCTACACAGTAAATCATAAACATTAGTGTGTCATAATATACATACTTCTCCTGCCTGTGTCCCCTCACAAATATATGGTCGGTAATCTCTCGCAAGCCTTGGCACATTGTCATTTATGTCCAGTACTCTGATGAACACCACCACAGAGGAGGATAAATGGTTCCGTGCTGCAGTAGTGAAAACAGAAATTTGCTGTATTACATTGGGTGCATGTATCATAAATGCCTTGCAAAAGCTCCATGAAAATACTGTACTTAAAACTGATAAATGTGTCTTCTTGAATCACGACTGTTGCAAACAAAAAAGGGGAACTGATGTTTCACTGCTTTGTAGACTGGACAGTAAAAAAACACTAAGTTAAGGAAATCACATAAAAATTTAAGGGCTTGGACCATTCTGGACAGTGGCATTTGCGCAAAGTGTGACACTAGTGGTGTTTGGATATTACAACCGAGTCAAGATATGGATGTGTTTTTTAAATCAAGTCAATTTCTGTTTTCAAATTAAGTGCACAGTTTAGCCAAAGATTTCTTATCAAACTGTCTTGAATATATTCTGGATAGGTTTCTTAGTTGAACAAAATTAAACGTGCAATGAGATGTTAACATTAGCACGATGCAGTTAAAACAAAACATGAACTAATTCTTACACTTTTCCTTGGCTAGAATAGTCACATTGTGCCAGTTTGCAGTCTCTCGGTCCAAAAGTTTAGCAACAGTTACAGTGCCATTGTTTGGGTCTATTCTGAAGGCTTCTGTGGTAGCACTCCTTTTGTCAGTTGAATATCTGGAAGAGAAACCATGGAGACACACATTTAGCAGGCAAGATTGTTTTCTGGGCAAACAAAACACTGTGGTACCACTGGGAGATTAATTAGGCAAACTGCTCAATTTTTTTTAATCTGTTGACAGATATCCAACAAAGTGTAACATACACAAGCTAGTGACAGCAACAACAGCACTGTGAAAACAATGTTGTGTCTCACACTGGCAGCGTACACAGTTTTATTTGTTGAATTTTTTATTTAGTTTTAATTGAATTCTTTCCCAATTTGACCACAGGTTTTCTTCCATTTGTTAATGAGCAAACAACTTGAAAACAGGAGACCAGTGGTACAGCTGTGGTGACAGAAGTCACTGCTATGTCTCGTTTTGTGAAAGTGGGACCTGAAATTTTTTATTATGTAAAGACAAACTTAAAAAACATTTATTATTAAAAGGATATGGTGGGTCATTTTCTATTTGAGCAGTGTTTTGGAAACCAGCAATGATTTGCCTCCACTCGTCTGTGTCATAGGCCTCCATTAATGTAGACACCAACCTTTTTCCTTGCTTGAGTCTTTTCACCTGCAGTTAGAAGGTGTCAAGGGCCCATGCCTGAGATCTGTGGACATTCTTGACAAATATTAGGGCCTTGTTTTGTAATGAGGAAATATGTCAAAGTGCAGTGCGTTTCCTGATGTGTTTTTAATGGTGTTTGAACATCAGTGGAGGTCTATGGCACAGACGAATAAGTTAATCCAGATCTGACAGATTGATGGACATTAATCATGAACAGAAGCAAATCATTGCTGGTATTAGTATTTGTATGAGGAGTGTTTAAAATAGTGTTAATATGAAAAATGATCAGCCTAATTCTTTAACAGACCAAGCAAAGAGAATTGGACTGTATACCTTTAACACTGGATAATATAAGTGATTATGCCATTATGGTGAATTAGGGTAACCAGGAATAAAACACTAATGTAATAAATCATTTCTGTGAGCCACTCTGATAACACAGAAAAAAGCAAATTTGAACAAAGCAAATGTAATCCTATTTACTAGAACTGTGGAAACCCCTAAAATGTCAGCCTGAATTTATTAATCAATGAGACACAGCCACCAAAGGGACAGTAATAGACGCTAGGCTGAGGGTGATATGCAGCACCTGCCACTCTTAAGCTTTGCTGAGATGGACTACAGGCACCAGTACTGCTGTCTCCTGTGCAACGTGCCCCACTTGCAAATGACTGCAAATCTCAATTCCATATGCTACCTCGTATGGTGCTTTATTACATTCCCACGCCCTAGCTACGTTGCTTTGTGATAATACCACTGCAATAGATAGAAAAGCCTGTGAGGTATAAAAAAAAAAATCACCATGATTTATTCAGTAAGGCTCATTTCCTACTAAAGTAATATGAGATAAATATGACCATGTACAGGGTATCCAGAGATCAAGGGTAAAAATGGATGCACTGAGCCACTAACACTATTTGAAATGGAATGATTTTTCAAGCTGTGGAGAAAGCTGTCTAGGGATGTTCCTCCCTCACCAGCCAGGGTATCTACCTCATCATTATCATACTGACAGTTGGGTGGCAGATGCCATTCTTCCTGGTTTAGAGGATTCACATTACCTGATGGGATTATTGACTGTGTCAGTGTCTCTGGCACTAACAGTGCCAACCACAGTTCCCACTGCTGAATTTTCAGGAACCTTCCACTCATAGACTGGTGAGAGAAAAACAGGTGGTTCATCCACATCCTCCACAAAAATCTTGACTGATGTCCTGTCCTTGAACTCCTCCAAAGATAAAAAGCGTGTGTCCACATGATCATTAACTGCTTCTGCAGCCATGACAAAACGTCGTTTAGTCTCATAGTCCAAAGGCTGTGAGGGGAAAAAATACCCGTTACAATTAATTTTAATGCGGAGGGTGTTATAAGCAGAAAACATGCTGTTCATCATCATTAAGCAAACTTAAAGAGCTTTTCAAATATGCTTTGCAAGCTTGTACTTAAGACAGGTGATTAGTCTGCTGAGAGCTGGACACGACTCAGAATGGATGTTAAATTGTTTTGTCGATGTCAATGAGCTACCAGCTGTGAGCATGCACTTAAATAATGCTGCTTTTCTGATTACTATTACAATGCTAATAAAACAGAAAAAGAGCATACAAACCATTCCTGTGTTCCCAAAATGACTCAGACAAAATCAATAATGTTTTTTTAAATTACATTATCACAGTATCTAAACTGAAATCTGTGCCATCAACAAGAAGCATACTGTACTGTGGAAAAAGCACAAATCTAAAAGCAAAACAAGTGAATTATAGTATTCACCTACATTCTATTATTAAGACATACTGTATTTTGGAATTTCTAACTATTTGAAAGTACTGAATATATATATTTAGACACAGTTGGGACTAAGATCTGGGTTTTAACATGGTTGAATTATGTCACCATTTATTTAAAAAAATATATAATTCTACTTCTGAATGGCAGCAGCTAATTGGCTAACCAGCTAATTACAGATAATGTGAAGGCACATCATGCCATGCTGAATGTTTTCAGGAATGGTGTCCTACAGGTCCTTGTTACCCTACACAACAAACTGCACTCATGTGACAGTTCAATAAAAAGTGGCATTATTGACACACATGGTATTAAGGTCTGTCCACACTTTTCTTAAAAACAGAACTGACTGAATCATTAGTATAATTAATTTCAGTGCTGATATACAGTCATCAGCCATCTCCTCTGCATAACCTAGCATGCAGTAGTTTATTCAATTATGCACACCATGCCAAATTGTTATACTTTCATGTCTGGTAGGCTGTTTCATTTTTTAAAGAAATATTATGTTTTTCTCTGTATTTGTGTGGTTTAACATTGAATGAATGACACTTTATTACAGACTCAAGGTCCAGGTTCAGAAACAAATAAAAAGCAATAAAAGAACAGTTTAAAACGAAACAATAAAAACAGAAAAACACATAAAAACGAGAACAAAAGAACACCCATAAAACTACTGCCCCTTTAAAAAACAGGCATAGCAGTATTTCCAGAGAGCAGAAGTAAAACGCATGTCACTGTGTGCAACATTAGTCAACAATAAAATGATATGATTTTTTGAACCATTCAAGCGACAAATACATTTAAACATCAGGTTTCTTAAAACAGCGGAAAATGTACTAATTCGAGATGACACGAACAATTCGCTAGCACTCGTCCATCTAGGCTTTTTCAACAATATCCTTAGGGCGTCATTGTAAGCTACTGACAGTTTCCGAAGACTGCCCTTTTTATAATTACACCACAGATGGGCAGTGTACAAGAAAGTACAATAAGCTTTAAACGAAGCCAATTTTACTCCCACCAAGCATGCACCAAATTTCCGTGCCAGTATATTAGCTTGTACGTGCAACATGTGGCACTGCCGATATATATATATATACACAACATTGATACTGCTGTCCTAAAAATAAAAATCTCTTCAAAATTCTAATACTGAAGATAGAGAGCACTGTATATGCATTTACCTTGGCCAGCAGAATCACTCCCTCCTGCGTCCCCGGGTCTGTTTTGATCATAAATGTGGAGCTTTCCTCCAGATCATCCTCCAGACTGTAGGTCATTCTGGCATTGATGCCAATGTCTCCATCTTCTGCCATAATCCTGCCCACTGTGGTGTCCACAGCTGCATTTTCAGGGACAGCAAAGGAGTACACATCTGAAAAAATAAGGATGTTCAAAAATCATTCATGTTGACACCATTTGCCTGTGAAGTTGGAACAGAATACCAGATAGCCAATTGGAACCTTCGTACCACATAATGATGAACTCACATTTGGAGAAAAACAGCATATAAAACAGTTTCCTCACTAAAACACAGAACTAAAACTACAGAACTTGACAGTAAGTTGCCTGCTAATGTGTAAAGACATAAATGTGTGGAGGGCCATTTTATCTGAATCCCAGATAAGTTGTGGCAACTCCACATAATTCCAGTCTAACTTTAATAAGACGACGAGAAAATAAGATTGTGCAACTCCATTTGGATGACTGCCACAACTCAACAGGCAACCAGCTGCTTCTGAAAAACAACTCCTGCTGATAATAATTTGCAGTTATGTGACAAAACAGAGGGCACAATTCAAAGTGAAGTGAGGCCATACAATATTGATAAGCCCTTTTTTACTGAACATTGAATTCATGGGGTACCGTAGCACCTGCAATGAATATGAATAAGACATTAATAGTTAAATGTATCATCCTCTGTCTCATTTCCACAGAACTGATCTCTTCCCAGTGCATTCATTTAGTGAGGTTTACTGCTAAGAGGACCAGGTTTGTTTCCAAAGGTCGTGACAAATGCCCTTTCATGTGTGAATGATTAAATTCATCCACTGTGTGACACATACACAGGTGCACATACAGATGAGCAGAACATCATCTCCTTTCACTCCCTCTATCTCTTTCTCTCATTCTTCAAATGTCTCCTTTTAATTTTGGCTGCTGGCTGAAACACAAGACGTCTACATCTGGCACTAACCACCCACCCAAACCGGAGAAGTGCGATCAAATAAATACTTCTTAGATCTTATGTTAAGCATGTCCTCGTAATCTGTAACACTTTGCACTCTTTCATTGAATCCCAGTGTGTGCATGGCCTGGTGTTTGCATAATTGTGAGTCATACAAGTGACTCACGGTGCCGAAACATGGGTCCGTTGTCATTAACATCAGTCAGGCTGACGGTGACTGTGGTGGAGGAGGAGTAGCCGCCACTGAGGCCCAGCATATCCTTCACCTGCACCACCACCAGGTACTGTTCCCTGGCCTCACGGTCCATGTTTGGCCAAGATGTAACAACAATTCCTGCAGGTGAAGGAGACGGGGTAAACAAGAGGAGAGCTGGCTTCATTTAGGCAGGTTATGTGCATCTGTGGGTGGGTTCCTAAATGCAAATAAACAAACTTTGCCTCAAGTCCTCAACTGCACCACAATAAATTTAAAGTCTGCAAATTCAACCAATTCAATAAGAAATATCAAGAGGGGTTTGAGATGATTCTTTGTGTGGCCAAAGTGGAGGCTGTGGGCAACAGTAAACAGATTTGCATTTCTTAGAATTCATCATTTCAATCATCTGTTTTGACATAAGCATCTGAGCAACGATTCACCAAAAACAATAGCTAGAGGGCCGTTTTTCACCATTATATGATTTGATTTGATTTATTCTATCAAACATGTAAAGACAGTCGATATGTCAATTTTACACATATCCAACAAATGCTAATCCAATATCAATGTGCTTATACCTAGTACATGCTTGAACGGAGTAGGAAGAAGTTAGACTTATCCAGTCCTACCCCATGACATCATCTTACCATCATTGGTTTGCAAGCAGTATCTCTACATAAATAATTCTCTTCTACACCACACAAGTGATATACTAAAAAATTATTACAGATTGTTAACATTCTTACATCATTACATACTTTGATAATTATCTTCTACATCACACAAGTAGAATTATTACATAGTGTTAACATTCTTACACCACACCCACAATGTTACACCTGATTAATCATTAAACCTGTTCTTGCATATATCTTGATTGACACATACATTTATATTTATGTTTAAACTCATCAATTCTATTACTATTTTTTATGTCCACACCTAAATTATTCCATAGTTTTACCCCACTTATGGAAATACAGAATCTTTTTTTGGTTGTACGTATAGCATGAATTTTCAAATTTAACTGACCCCTTAAATTATATCCCCCTTCCCTTTCAATTATATTGTGAACACATCTGTTGTTTAACATACTGTACAGCAGAGAGCCCTTTATCAACTGACTATATCATTAAAATACCTTAGTTTGATCATGATTTGCTTATGTCAATGGAGTTTGTATGTATAAAAAAAGGATTATGTGTGTTTCAGGCTTTGACCACAGACAATGTAAGATTTTCAGTGGATTTGTTGACAGAACTGCAGACTGAAGTCATAAGCAAAACAACTTGTAATGAGTTGTAGTCAACTGCTGCCTACTCCTCAATGAAAATTAACAGTTGACTCCCCAAAAAAGTCAGACTTGTCCTTTTACATATTGCATTAATTTGAATTAAAATATTTTTTCGATGTCAATCATGCCAACCCCCAGCTCTTCACGTTTCAGGTCGACAATGTGTGTGGGAAGTGTTGTAACTGACCTCTGAATTGCACAAGAAATATATTGTAGTCATACTCTCCTAGTGACTTAAAAGTAGCTAAAATTTGTAGTTTTAATTAATTAAATTTCAATCTAAAAATCTGTGTAGATGTCAAGTATACCTGTCTTTGGCTCCACAGAGAAGTAGGGCTCCCCCTGCAGGATGGAGTAAATAAGCTTGGCGTTGTTTCCAAACATGGGATCATCAGCATCTGTGGCTGTCACCTGGGCCACTGTGGTCCCTATGGGGGGCAGTGGATCACACAGCCAGAGTTAGCTCAGGCAGCAGTTCCAGTCGACAGGGAAATAAAGTGATTATGGCACAGTCCTGCAGGGTCTGTCTGTCTGGCTCAGGAGGAGAGCGGTGGAAATAGAAAGGGGGGAGGGGGGAGCTTGAGGTTGGGTGAGAGGAGGGATGCTGGTAAAGGGGCGACGGGTTTGGGGAGAAGCATTGGCCATTTACAACTCAGTAAGGCTGTGCAGGTGCATATGACAACCTCTCCAGTCCTATAGCAACATCTCTTTTTCCACATTTTTTTGTCCCTCGCACTCTTCACCTCCCTGTTGTTTGCACTTACTACCCTTTTCTCCACCGGCATAATCCTTCTCTTCACCTTGTCACAGTATCTTTCTCCCCTTGTCTGTCATATTCCTTTCCCAAAGAGAGCTCAGTCTTTCACACAGACAGAGATTTACCACAGGATTTCTTATTCTCCATTAACCTAACCCCCTCACTTTCTCTTTCTTACTCAAATGCATTATGATTTATTATGAGTGAAATGCTACAAAGGCAGATTACATATAAATTGAAATGGTAATGTTTGTGCTATGAAAGGGCAATGTTTATAAGAAGTCTATCCATAAAGCTATAATTCAGAATCTAATACTTTGAACTTCCTGAGAGGAGACGGATGACAGACATTCATATAATAGTTTGTTCATTGGCTTCAGTCAAGATTTAAGTTTAGGAGACTCATTTAAGAAGCAGATCCATAAAAACAATAAATATCCTTAAGATGTGCACAACAAAAGAAAATCAGTCATGCTTTTTTGTCTAAAATTTGAAATGTACAATTTCCTGGAATACACATAGCCACAATAATTCATGACAGATGAAGGTTAAACAGTAGCAGGAGTCCACAGCCACAGTAGCAGCTCTGTATTTAGGTGGAGCTGTGTAAATGGTAATATACTTGCAGTGACAATGTCAACATGACTATGTTTAGCAGATGTTTACTATGTTCATCTTGTTTTAGTGTGCTAGCGTGCTACCATAACACTTGTTAATCTGCACAAAACACCAATTATATCTTGGTGTTTTGGTAGGTCAAGTTTTGCAGAGCCTTTTTTAATATTTAGTATTAAAATTTTGATGTTATGATTGTGCTACATGAAAAGTCAGTTAAACATCTTGTGGTTAATTTAAAGGTTAAGGCCGGTGATTATATTAACAGTATTTTAAAAATTCCCCATACAGAGACTAACACCAACAACAAACTCCCTCTACTTATGGCTAATGTCCATTAGTGTGTTAGTCCTGGATCAGCCTATTTGTCTGTGCCATAGATCTCCATTGTTGTTCAAAAACAATTAAAAACACATCAGTGAAACACACCACTGCACCGTTTCTTCATTAGCAAACCCCAAACCGGCGCACGAGTAGTTAACGGGATGTAAACAAAGTAGAGAGCTCATGCAAGTTCTCGCACAGTTGACCCTGACTTGTACTAACTTCAGGAAATTATGGCCACTTGGAGATTTTGGAGCAACATGTGGGTCTGGGGTTTCGTAAAGAAAAACGTGTCACCCAGTGCAGCCGTGTGTTTCCCTGATGCTTTCGGTTGTTTTTGAACAACAATGGAAAGTTATCCTGCGATGGATTGGTGACCTGTCCAGGGTGTACCCCGCCTTCGCCCGATTGCTGGCCGGGATTGGCTCCCCCCCGTGACCCCATTCAGGGACTAAGCGGTAGAAAATGAATGAATGAAGGAATGAATGGAAAGTTATCACGCAGACGAACAAAATGATTCCAGACTGACAGCTGACAGACATTAACTGTGAGTAGAGGCAACTCACTGTTTGTTTTACTCTGCACGAAGATTGTTGAAAATACAATCAATATAGAAAATGCCTCATTTTTGGTAAATTATTTAACATATACTCAGAAGTCGCCTGTCAGTAATTTATTCACCTCATATAAACATCACACATTTCCCCCCCTTACATGGCAGTTCACTAGATGGCTGTAAAATTAAAAGCATCCAGATGACACTGGGGTGGAGGCAGAGTTTAGCCACATCTCAAAGCTTGAGCAGGTAAGTTTCATTGTCAACTCTCACTGTAAAAGGAATTGTTTACCCTCATCTTTCTCAGCATACCTGGTGGGCACATCTCTGGGATGCTAGACACATACGGTTCATTCTGGAACTGGGGGACATTGTCATTGATGTCCTGCACCTTGATGATAAATTCAGACTGGGGCTCCTCTGGTTCGTTAGACCTCCTGTTGATAGCTTGGGCTTGAAGGACGTAAAAGGCCTTTTCCTCACGGTCAAGCTTCTTTAGTGTCCGGATCTCACCAGAATACTCATCTATCTCAAACACATCTCCAGCACCTTCTCCAGATAAAATGTACCTGATAGAAGACTCACCTCGGTCAGAGTCAGATTTGAGCTGCGAAAAGAACACAAGGTATAAGAAAGCTTGATTTTTTTTAGACATGTTTTTCTGTAGCAACTTGAAAACATGGATTTTCAAAAGGAAGTACCATAACAAAGACATGGAGGACATTCAGTCTGTGGCGGTACCTGGCCAATAACACGAGGAGTGGGATCTTCCTCGGGGACAAACAGCTGTTTCCAGATCCAGCCTCTCTTCAGGCGATGGTGTGGATGAGTGGATGCCTGGGCCAATTGTTGGGCTTCCAGATCCTGAGTGTCTCTCATATCACTCAGCACACCACCAGGAAACATAGCAAAGACCATCACTGTGGCCAAAACACTCAGCGTGCTCATTTGTAATGCCCATCCATGAGTTTCCTCTGCACTTCCCATGGCTAATTGACAGAAGAGGTGTCACTAGTCGGGTGTTACCAAATCTTCATTCAGCAGCACATTAATTCATGACCCTGGCAGTTTTGTATCCCACTTTGTTATAATGTGGTCTCTTGCATGTCTCTGAAATAGAAGTTAATTTAATTACTGGCTGCAGTTAGACATTTCCAGAGGGCAAAATGAAAACACTGAAATCTGTAGCAGTGTGGTCAAATCCAAAAATCAAATGTGTTATATTGTGCAAAGCTATACATAAGAGTGCAGAAGGTACAGTGTGTACTAGGTGCACATATCTATCTGAAATTAAAAATATTTTTTGAAAGGAAAAACCTAGACAGTACATGCAGTAGATAAAATCAGCAGAAGTACTCAGATTCTCTACTTAAGTCAAAGTAGCAACACCACAGTGTGAAAATACTCTATTACAAGTACAAATCCTGCAAAACAACAATTCAGATGCATCACAAATCCAGGCAAAAAAGACTAATCTGTTGTCTGAGCTCCTCTGTTCTTGCTTTGCATCCCTTGCTCTGAAAACATCCTTCTGTTTAGAATTCAGACAAGGCCCTGCATTGTGTTGGGGAGCAGGGCCTGAACATCATTCCTTGAGCATGACACTGCACTCTGCAACTGACTAATGAAGACTTCTAATTAGATCAGTGTCTCCCCAGACATGGAAAACAGAGGCACACATGGCTCTGACAAACTGTGCGTTGAATCAATGCACCAATTATAATGTGCACCAAGATCAGGGTCAAGAGTGTAAGGGCAATGAAAGTCAGACAAGACAGCAAATTAGTTAGGACCACACAGATTACAATGTAGTGCACTGGCTTAGCGGACTTGAACTTCAACAAATGTATCAATTTCCATTTTATCCATGGATTAAATGTGTGGTCTTTATCACATTTCCATCTCCTACCAACAGTAACCAGCTACTATCCCGCCACTACCAAGCTTTATGGACCTTTATCATCATGGAAACAGCCATATACATGATGGCTAGGTAGGCTAGCCAGCAGTAAGCTCATGGAACTTGGTCTTTGAGGCTTTCATAATATGACACTACAATTATAAAATCCTCACAGTTTCACCACACATCTGTTTGGTCATTTTAGACTTTTATCTTACTTTGAATTTGATAAGGAGCACAAATGATGTCTTGACATGAAACCCTGAGCCCCGCATTATGCAGCTGTAATCAGTTGTAATTAAGGATTAGAAGTCACCATAATTCTAAACCATTTTCATAGAGATTTTGTTGCAGTGTACTATGAGCACATAACATATAGAGTTCCACAATATTTTAATCCAAAATACTAAACATAAGTGCATGCATTTCTACCATGGGTGGTCCCAGTGGAGTATATTGCAGGAAGCTGCTTCACCAGTTAGAGTAGTTGCAGTATTAAAGCTTTAACAGCTTATAATGTTCATGTTTAATCTTGTATAAGTAAATTAGCTGTCAAGACCCATTTGTAATGAGCTGGTAAAATCAATTACTAATGCAGGCTTTCATTTCTGAAATTCAATTTCGATAGAGAACATGAAGGAGAGTATGTGTTTGTGCTTATTTATGTCTTTACAGGCCGTAATCATATCTCTAAGCACTATGGAGTGACATTCCAATTAGTGGCCAGTGAATCGTGCGCTGTTACGGTCTTTCACAGGGCTGCCAAGCACGCAACCAAACTGAACGCCTTGAGCCAAAACTAGACAACAGCCCTCGATGATGGTATTCTGAAGAACTGCTCAGCTGCCAACATGCCAAGGAGCCTGTTTAAAATCTTCCTGGGAGCATCAGACTTTATTGATGTGGATGGAATGGTGCTCGGGTCACCAGATGTTTAGGTGCCAATTTAATAAGATGGATCCTTCTAGAAAAATAATGGGAATGACCAAAAAAACACACTAAAATCAAATCCTAGCTCCAGGTCTGTAAATAGCAAGGTGTTGGGGAACAAGTGATACATGTCTGAGAGTGGCAGCTATCTTGATAGAGCTTGATAATATGACCCTGCAAAAGCAGAATTTTAAAAGCATCAACTACTGTTTTAGTACAAACCCATGAGCTATCACTTATACAACTGTTAGCTATGGGAAAAATAAAAATATAATGAAACACTAATGAATTCTATGTTCATCTTTCTCCTTTCAAAAGAAATTCTCATTTCTACGTGGCATGCAATACATGCAGAATGCCCTGTGTTTGACAGCCATTCATTACCTCTAATAGGCCTTCCTTCCATTTTCAGCAGACCTCCTGTAGTCTGTATGTACAGTCGCTACTCTACCACATGACAGAATGACAATGAGCTGCAGTCTCACAATGTTAAGCACTAGATGCGCCGAGACATCACATTATTTTACTATATGGTGATGTGTTAGCTAATAAAATGTAGCTCTGTTGTGGAAATGGTTGTAAGATGCTATTAAACTGTGTCTAATGTGCCAACGCAAATGCTGAAAAGCAGAAGGGAAAAAAGCAACTCCTACTTGACTTTGTGAATGACACGTCAATGCGTGCTGCTAACTTCTGAGTAATACTAACATTCATAACAAGTAAGCATTAATTATGTTGTTTTTCATGCATTCATTTTCTGACTTGGCCTTATGTATAGCTGAAAAAGAAATGAAACCATTTGAAAATATAACTAAATATAGACTCAAATCTCTCATTTAAATAAACCTATTTGCAGTTTTGTAAAAGAAAAAAATCCATCTGTTGAGCCTTGCTTCTTTAAAATCACCCTTCCAAGACAAGATGCCCTTAATTGGCCATTTGGGAGCCTATCATGGGATGTGTTTACTGATCAACGCCATAAAAAAATAACACTGACATGTACTTTATGTTGCCTAATTCGGGACCTCAGATGAGTGCAGAGACTGGGCTAGAACAAGAGGGGAATGTCAAGTCATCATGTACTTGTTAGTAAGCAATTTGCTTTATTTTATTATGTGGGCAAGTGAAAATCATTACTGTTTAGCAAAGTGTCACAAACTTCCACTGACATTTATCAGCTATGGCACTACGTTTTATTTGTCTCCTTTCTTTGTACTGAAAAATAATTGATGCTGCCAAAGTTGCTACTAAAGAAAACAAAAAGCCCAGTGGATTCAAACTACCGGCAGTTATCGATAAAGACTCAATTATGGTGATAAAAAGGAGATGTTTCAAGGACTATGTTCTGAGAGCAGACAATCATTATAATACACTTACTTTAAAGGCAGAACTCGTGGAGCGACTCTGCTGTCATGTTTACTCTCCTGGTCTTTTCAGTCATGCCGTCTGTGGACCTGCGGCAGGGAAGATGGTGCAAGGCTGTATTAACAGTTTTAAAATGTTTTCCTCACATACTGAACAACCACAGACTGTTTTCCTGTACACAGGAGTCTATATGCATTTCATGCCAGCAACTTATTACAACCAACAGCTACATATTAAGGTAAGGTATACCATGTGAAGTAATTATGATCTAGGCAAAGGAAGAAGATAGGTGGCATAATATCAGTGACAAAATCCATGTTAGGACATCTGGTGACCCGAATGGGTCAGAACACATACGAGTTTCCCACAGGAGCTCAGAGTATTATTCCTGTGTGAAAACTTGTTTTTTATCCAAGACTGTTCCACAGCATTAACGTGTATATACACAGGCTATATTAAGTCAAACCACGATCTTTTCCTAAGTTGTTTTTGTGTGTAAAGCTAATGGTTGTTGGGACCAAAATAATGGATTGATGAGAATTTCCCTGATGTGTGATACCACCCATTTCTTTTTTGATCCGATACCAGGCTGGTATTGCCAATACTGATACTGTTCTTTGTGCAAAAAATGAGGGAAAATAGATGAAGAGGCAGTATAAGGTGAATCTATAAGGGCTAAGCTGCAACTTTTATTAATGACAATTAGTGCCACTCCGGTCATAGTGGAAATGCAGCTTATACTGTAACGGGACATTTCTCCAGCCCAGTTACTGAACTGTGTGGGTGGCGGGACTACATCCATACAGGGACCCTTTACATCCCATCTTGGTTGCTGTTTACATCCCTACTACGGCAACGCAAAACTGCATATGACATCTGCTTTGTTAGAGTGAGGCTCCAGACTACATGTTTTTCTGATTCTCAGTGGTTCATGCATTTGCAGAGCCATAGTTTGCTTATGGCTATGACGGGCGGAAGGAGAAGTAGTTCCTCTCGCCCAGGTATTATTGAGACTGTCCTGTAGTGTGGTTACTTTAAACTGCATCCCCTCTTTGGAGATAAAACATACATTTACCCCAAATTAGCCTACTTATTTTAGATACTGATCTTTTAACAGGGGAACTGATCCTAGAACAGGAAACGTTGGGATTGGAAGTGTCAGTATTTCAGGATCAATCCACACAGCACTAATCTGAAATTCCCCACCTGAACAAAGGCTAAAAATTCTAAAATTCATTTCATTATGCCACATTTTGAAAAATATGAGTCAGAAATGTTTCATTCAATTTCCAAAGTTTATTGTAACTTAATATAGGCCAGTAGGGTTAGAAAGAGTATGTGTTTCAATCAATAAGCACTCAGATTATCAATAGAGGCTTCAAATGGTTGACTGAGAAAAAGTATTTCACAACTATGACTTTTACACTTAAATCTGTTCATTTGAATATTTTAGGTATTTAAAACACCACTGACCTGCTATCCAGCTAGCAGCCATCTTACAAGATGCAAAAAAGGGAGATTTTTTGTTGTGATAAACAGAAAGAACTACTAGACTCATTTAGAATAGATTGCATTCACTCATAAATGTCAGTCTTTCTGTTTATGCCTTTTGGCATTCCTCCATACATCTTCCCTAGATAACAAATGTAAAATCTGACAAAAGATCTGCCTAGCATCCACCGCCACCACACCCACCTGTTTGTGTGATTCTGTTGTCCCAAACACCACTTGTCACCACCCGCTGTCTAGAGAGATCATCACGGTGTGTAAGAAAACACAATCTGCTTAGCTAAATATCCTGGTAGTGGAAGGCAATTCAGTCACCACAACTGCAGAAACAGAAGTGAGTGATTCTCACAATGCGTAATCCTCTGCGCCCACAACCTCCGCTTTTCTTCTTCGTCTTCTCCCCTTCTCTGTCCTCTCAAACTTCATGGGGAAGAACAAACACAGGCTCTATTGTCTGGCCCTCACATCTGAACACTGCAGAACACACAGGGCCTTCATCACCATGCAAATAGTCACAGCCTGGAGTTACAAATGGATTCCTATCCGTTTGCCCTCTCTGGTTTTTCTCCCCATTTTTTGAACAATCCAGCACTTAGTAAAGTCGAACTAGAGAATGGAGGGGATTGGAATTGGTCCACTATTTCTGCTTGTGTTAGGACGGCAAGTCTGTTACTTGACATTCAAGCCAAGGGACCATGCAGCTTCTGCGTGCCTCATCCTGATATGGCCACATTTAAAAATTGACCTGTCATGGCAGAGATGAAGAAATACACTTCCACTGGAGCCGAGGGCCCCGGGCCACTGCGTGCATACACGCCGCCATTATGGGCAACTTGGAGGGTTCAGTGTCTTGCCCAAGGACACTTTGACATGTGGAGTGCAGGCACCCTGATCTGAACCCTTAACCTTCCGGTTGGGAGATGACTGCTCTACCCACCACCGCACTGTCACCAGCCTAGACTACACGCATCTGTTTTCCATGTGATCTGCCCTGCCTAGCCCTTTATAATCACCTCACACTCCTCCCCCTCACGTTGCCTCTGGTCATCTCCTTCACCCTTGTTTGTCTTCTATGCCGCTACATCATCTCTGGTCTGCCCCTCTACCTTTGTCTGCACCTTCTGCCCTTGCCTCTGCATCTCGTCATGAACTCTAGCAACTTTTACAGGAGCGGTATGAACCATTATAAAAAAAGAAACTTTGCTTACCCTGTTGATGTTACTTAAATATACCCATGTTCTGACCTGTGAAAAGAATGATGCTTTCCTTACAGTTGTCCAAGCCCTGACTTGCAAGAATAAAGTTATGTTACTTGCACAAAGTTAGCAGCATGTAATGATGACATATAGATGCATGGAGAGGGGAAAGGGGGAGAGGCGCTCAGAGCATCATGGGGCCTCCAGCAGTCTAGGCCTATAGCACCATAACTAAGGAAAGGCTGAGGGTCACCTGATCCAGCCCTAACTATAAGCTTTATCAAAAGCAAAGTCTTAAGTCTAATATTAAAGGTAACAAGGCCGCCTGCCTCCCAAACTGAAACTGGGAGCCGGTTCCATAGGAGAGGAGCTTGATAGCTAAGGTTAGGAATTCTTGGTTATTTCTGGCCCATGTGCTGACCTGTTAAAAGAAGGTTGGTACTTATCCATGTCCTCGTTGAGACTGGTATGGAAGATTTATTTTTAATCAATCGCTACTGTTAAATGTTCTGGATCAGGAAGGCTGGCTTATGCCGCAGACTTCTCTGGTTGTGGAGAGGAGGATGCCTCACAAACTGAACATTGCTGAGAACATCTCACATCCCCTCCACGGCCTACTGTCCAAACAGCGGAGCACTGTCAGAGGCTGCTTCAACTCCACTGTGACAAAGAACGCTACAGAAAGTCGTCCCTGCCAGCTGCTGCCACTCTGTGTCAGGGGAGGGACCTCCTCTAACTGAACAGTTTTTCCTTCTGACAGACTGCTCACCTGGACTTTTAGTTATATATTATGCATCACATCTGTTATACTGTCCATCCACTGTTATCCAATTCATTGGCTCTTTCAAGTACCTGTGTTAGGCTTACTGGATAGGTAGGACCCAAAGTGCAGACACACAAGCCAAGGGAAGGTTGAAGTAGAATTTTAATAAATAATCAAGAACGAGACTAAAGGGGAAAAATACAAAGGCTCAACCTGACAGGGATAAGCAAATAATCCCAAAATGCTAAACTAAACGGTAGGTCAGGGAGAAGGGTAAGAAACTAAAGCAAGACTGGAGAAACTAACAAAAGAGCTGCACAGGCCAGAATCCAAACACAAAGGAACAAACAAAACAGAGTCAAAACTTACAGGAGTACATGAACAAGCAGGGCATGGCGAACGGAGATTGAACCAGCAAGAGACTGAGAGGAAAAAAGGCGTATATATGGGCTGGAGAACAGAGGATAATGAGCAATAGGTAAAAGCAATGAGTGGTGATTGTGCACTGGAGTAAAACTGGGGCAGGTGAGGTGATACAAGACAGGAAACTAACCAAAATAAAAACAGTAAACAGGAAGCAAGTCCACAAACCATAACAGCCTGACTGTATACAGTATATACTTTACCTTATAATACATTGTATACATATCTATCTAAAGAGTTGTACTGTAACAGAATTTCTGTGTGTCTCATTCATTCATCTGGTTATTTTTGTCTTCACCATTACATCTGGCATTTCTCTCTTACTTCAGTCTCCTCTCTCCTTTAACCTCCCTTCCACTCTCTGGGAAACCTCCATTTGAACAGTGTTAACTAGAGCAGCAGTGAATAAACTTAAAAACTTTTTAATGTCTTATTGTTAGACAGTCTCTAGCAGCCACAGTAATTATGACACAAGCAAAGGAAGAAGTTAGGTGATGTAGTTTACAGAGCAACATTAGGAGGATGGCTGGGTCAGAAAACAGAGGACTGTCTCACAAGAGACTGTATGAAGTCAAATTCTTTGTGTCTGACACACCTGCACAATGAAGCAGATTCATTACTGTAACCATGACAACAAAGGTGTTTGTACAACTTCAAATTAGAAAAAGTTGGAATGGATGATGTAAAATAAAAATGAACACTCATTTCAATTTTGATGCTGCAACACACTTCAAAAAAAAAAGTTGGGACAGTAAAGTGTTTACCACAGAGTGATACTGCCGTTCCTTTTGACAACATTTAAGAGACTAAGGACACCAAGTGATTAAGTGTGTCAGGTGTAAATCTGTCCCATTCTTCCTGCAAACAAGCCTTAAGGTGCACAACAGTCCTGGGTCTTCACTGATGTAATTAGTGTTTCAAAACGCGCCACACATTCTCTACTGGGGACAGGTTGGGACTGCAGGCAGGCCAGTCCAGCACTTGCATCCTTTTCCTCCACAGCCAGGCCTTGGTAATGTGGCAGTATGAGGCTTTGCATTGTCTTGCTGAAATATGCATGGGCGTCTCTGGAAAAGATGTCATCTTGAAGGCAGCATATGTTGCTTCAAAATCTCTGTGTACTTTTCAGCATTAATGGGGCCATCACAGAAGTGTGAGTGGCCTTTACCAAGGGCACTGACATGACCCCAGACCATGACAGAGCCTGGCTTTTGGACTTGTTGCTGGTAACAGTCAGTCATCCAGTTTAGACTCGTACCCTTGCCCTTTATGCACTGAAATCCCTACAGATTCCTTGAATTCTGTGCCATAGAGGGTGACATATCCAAATCCCTTCCTATCCTTCTTTGAGGAACATTTGGATTGGTTATATGTAGCATTGGAGTGTTACCATGATGACAAAGGCCTGGTAAGTTTGCCGCTGGAAAGGTCCTGCGAGTTACCTTCTAAGTTAGGAACAGATGACTTGCATTGTCGTTGGAGAACTTCTTGTATAACAATGTGAAGTACTTAATATCAATCCAGTGTGGACAAAGGTTACCAGCTCCAAAACCTTTTAGACCAGAAATATTGCACAGAGTTTAACACTTGTATGAGGATAGGATTTTTCAGTGGAGCATAGACTGAACAATGCTAGAATTTTGAAAAACAAAACCACAGGAGGGAGCTTAGTTTTAGCTCGCAAGTGTTAAGTACTATATGCCAAAAAGCTCAGTGAGGCCTGAAAAAGGCCATTTCAAAATCTGAGAGGTGGTTACAATGTACCCTCCGCTGTACAACTAGTTTGACTACAGTAACTGCAGTCAAACTACTACAAGTTAAAGGTTTTGTCATTTCTAATAATTTGATGACCAAATAACCTTTAGATAAAAAAACCAAAAAGCATTCATTACATGCTTCTCGTAAACATGCTAACCTCTGAGAACTAGTTATAAACATAAATGATGCAAATAGATTCAATCATTGCAGAGTTGTAAAAGGGCCAAAGTAGCATTGTTGGATGAAAATGTCTTCCACGTGACCAGAGCAGTCTTCCCTCAGAGCTCTGTGACAGGGCGGGCTAGTTATGTTGGAAGCCGATTCGTTTTCCTTATGAACTCCACAACTCCCATTCTGATTGCATATCAAACACAGAAATGTCAGGACCTGCACTGTGACATTTAAAACACCCATTGTAGACCTTGTCTAATTGAGCCTCCCTCATTATAATGATAGAGTGTGGACGGGCCCCTGCAAAAGAACATCAGAGGTGGAACCTATGGTTTGGTGCCAGCAAGAATTATTTACATTTGTGCTCCCTTCTTCTGTCTGAATGTGGCACCGTCTCTGGTGACATTTCAGGGCTGCCAAATAATGGGCACAGAGTAATGGTCAGCATATTTGCAACAAGATAAAGGTGAGCCCGGTCAAATCACCATTCACCGGGATGTCATGTTGTATAAATAATTTAAGCTGTAATGGTGATATACTGCTTTTTATATCCTGTATCATTCCCTATCAGTGAAGTTTTTTGTTTTTCATGGAAAGCACAGAGAGGATAATGTGGCTCTGGCTTAAGCTGATTATTTGTTTTTCACATTTTACCCAGTGTTCTGCTCTTCTGGTGAAAATATCTCCTTGAAAAACTGGTTATTTTCTAATCAACCACTAATCTAACATCAACATAATGTTCAGAAGAGCGAAAGTACTCAACTGTTCAGGCGTCATCATGTTAGAAGCATATGTGCCCTTCACGGCTTACATTTGTATTGTTGCATCATCTTTCTGTAATTGGAGGAAGACTAAAGCATCATTGGCATTCTGCTCAGTCCACTGTGGTGAATTTGATGAGGGTGTCACATTAAAAATGCATGTACCTCATACGTTCTTTGGCCTTTGTCTTTGCCATGGGAAACAGCAGACACTTATGACAAATAAGGACGGAGCAGGGTCTCTCTGTTCGACAGGAGACATCAGCGTCTGCCTCCTCCGCACAAGACTCTACATTTGTCAAACGCCTGGTCTGATAAAGAGAAAAGAAATGGGCTCACAGTAGAAAACCTGAATAGACATACAAACATTACAAAAAAAATATAGGCAAACACAATGTTTCACCTGAAAAAAATATTGTGCATAAGGACTTTGCTCAACTGCAGTTTCTCAATGTCATCTTCGATTAATTTTGGTGAGAAAAACAGAAATGGTCTTCTTTAGACGTGGTTTTAAAATGCGCCTTGGACCATCAGATCACACAGCCAAGACCCATCACCATTCATACCTATCAATATACATACATCTCCAAGGTGCCCAGCTGATTGCTCGTGTTCAGATTTTGCTACTGCTGCGGTGGGTAGAGCAGTCGTCTCCCAACCAGAAGGCTGAAGGTTCGAATCTCAGTGCCTGTAGTCCATACGTCCAAGTGTCCTTTGCAAGACACTGAACCCCCCAAGTTGCCTGTGACGGCAGCGCATATGCACGCAGCAACTCGGGGCACCCTGGCTCCAAACAAAATTTCATTGTACGTGTCACAATAAAATAAAGCTTCTTCTTAAATATTGAATGGCCATGGGTACAATTGCTACTTCAGTCTGTTACCAGACAAGTGCCAGTAGTTTTCCTAACCAAAGAAGAAGACAAGCATCAGATTTGTACATGAATGTATTATGAAAGCTTTCACAATATAGCGATCAATTTTGTATCAGACATTTCCCACGCCCTCACCAAAACAACCACCACATCCTGAATCGATGATTTTCCTGAAAATGTCCATTTCAGAGACGCCTCAGCGTTTATGATGCAGAAGATATGTGGTCAAATGCATCCCAGACCACCTCGGCAGTGGTTTCAGTGATCGGATCACAATCCTTCTTGATGGTTGTTTACAGTTGTACTTAGCTGTGTCCACTTGTGATCCGATCACCCAGGATGCATCTTAAAACAAGTGTAAACAAGGCTGATGATCTACCACTCAGACAAGTTTTTGATTCTGGATCAATTTTAAAAGGATTCAACAACTGTGGTGCAACAATAAAGCATTTAAATTTGCTGCAGCTATGCTTTTCCCCCGTAACACTGTCTATGGATCTTGCTTGCAATACCAAAATGACAGGCATTTTAACACAGATAAAATTGAAACAACTAAAACTGGTGGCTGTTCCAACACCTAAAGCACTGTGTAATTTTATGAGAGACTCCTGTAATTATACTGAAATGGGGAGAAATACTTCAATTTGCAACTTTATTAACATGAAGGGAACAATGGCAGCAGCATTAATGCCATTCTACCATGCAGTTAACACTGTACTTTAAAACTATAATCATGGGTTAACATGATTATAAAACAATTATATGCTGGAGCATATCATTTTAAGTGTTAGGCATCCCAAAATCATCATATCACTGTTTCTCTATGTCAGCAGAGTTTCATCTGAGAGCGAGAACTGACAGCATTTCTCAAAGGACGGACTCCAGGAATGAGCAGGCTCCTCTCTATACTCAAGGGAAATATACTGTAGTTTTGAGTTGAATGTGTGGCATTATTCATCACACTGATGCAATGCATAATTAATTCTCATCATTCCTGTAATCCTTCTACAGACTTCAACGCAAAGATTTAAAATTACACACGGGGCCTATATCAGCAGGCAGAGTGATATCCATTGTAGTTTCCTCACTCAACAGCAAAGAAATGCAGATGATAAATTGGCAAGGTTACAAAGTATTTACACAAATAAGTTGAAAACAATCGATTCAATGCGCCACACTGTCATACCCTTAGGGACATGGTTCCTCTGGAAGAATGCACAATCCCCCTGGCCTGGGTTCATTTGAGACGCAGACTGTGTCTGATTGATCAATGAGGACCACTGCTGAGCCATCAATCTAACCGCAGTGGAATAGGAAAAAGGGAACATTAACATGTATAAGCTGCCATGTCCTGACAATGTCCTCTACCTTGAGTTGGTGGGAAAGCAGCCACCTCTGGGGACATGAACAAAAGCGGTAAGTATAAGACCTGTGACAGGAACATGTTATATAAGAACAGGTACAATGTCAACATTTTAGCTCATTTGTGATATTATCTTCATCACGGCAGAGGTTCTTTCAGCTGCTGCTACTTCTGCACTGCTTTTTTTAACAGGTTAGAGTTAATCTCTGAAAACTTCAATATGACCTTCAAATACCCTCCAGGTCATCATCATTGTAAGTCACTAATGAAAGCAAAAAAAAAAAATAACTGCTGGCACCTTTTTGGCCTCTCTGTGCTGCAGTATTGAAGACAAACAGGTGATTAATGAGTGAGTTGTGCTGATATTGCTGGTAGACAGCTGTTGCATATTAGAGCAATCACTGGGCAAAGCAGTTAAAAGCTGTGTGTGAAGGTCTCTGAGTGCTACTGAGATCCATTATCAGGAAAATGGCTAACATGCTGTGTTTTAAAGTTAGCACATTTTTACAAACTGGTCAGAAATGCCAGCAGCACAGACGTGCACAAGAAAAACCTTCTCACGCAATAAAGGTACAATATAGCTGCATCCTCAGCTGCTTGTAAGAACAAAACTCAGCTATAGTGTCTCAAAAACTCCACAACACAATTAGTGTAGTGTGCATGGCATGTTTCAAACAATCTTGAAAATGCTCCACATATTCAAGATGCTAAAATTACTTGTGCAATTCCACTGCAAAATGAAGTTTAAGTGTCTGAACTTCATAACTAACTTCATAGAATAATTGTATCTGTTACATGTGCATTAATGAGTGATGGAGTGATTTTGGACACAGCCCACATTACTTCATGATTTAAATCATGACCCAGAGTAACTAATGTGCAAAGTGAAGGGAGTAATGTTGGGGGTGCTCAAAACACAGATGGTAGCAATGACTAACAGTGATGTTCACCTGGCTGGTTAAGTGTGTGTGGCCACTGGAACCAAAGTGACATTATGAACTATTTTTAGTGCTGCACCGCAAAGATATTGCAAGAGTTAAATTACCAGTACCAATATTGTCAGTTGGATCCACAAATTTAGGCCCCAGTAAATAACTGGAGAACAGTTATTTACTGTAGTGTGCACCTTCAAAAATAAAGCTTACATTTTAAAAATATTGTACTTACAGATTATACAGAACCAGATGCAGAAAACCAGGTACAAAGGGAAGATCAGGTGCATATCATTAACCACTTACTACAGGGATTTAAAGTGCATGCAAAAAGGGAACCTTGACACGAGCTGACAGGTGATGACAACAGCATGACTTGTTAACTTTTGCCACCCTGATTTTTGCACCTAATCATCGAAACTGAGGTGACAGTCCAGTTGCTTCTCCAAACATGCAGCCATTTGCTGCAGCCTAAAAAGACAGCATTTCATCAGACTCTGTGACACAGAGAGGTTTATTACTCTGGCCGGTTATGTGATAAATAACGAGTTTACAGTTTTGTAGAGATATACTATATAAGCTTAAATATTGACAGATTCCAGCAGAATCAGTCTTCATACTGGGTGGTAATACCTATTCATTCAGTCCTGCAGTGACACAGTGGTTAATCTCTGCCCCAAGGCACTTCAGTTGTAATGCACCTGCTTTAAAAAGAAAAAAAACCCCACCCATGTCTTTCTGAATTGTAAAACAATTAGCTAATATTTATTAGCTAATAATTACTGGACATTTGTGTGTTTCTCTCTGGATGGAAGGCTGCATAGTCACTGAATTGGTTCTAGCTCAGGTTTTAGGAAAACAGTGAAACCAGCAAAACTGTTTTATGCTCTAAAAATACCAAAATGTAACTATAATTTTCCACAATTTAATTTAAAGAGTGACTGACAAGTGAATGAGTGCTGGGAACACACAGAGTGCAGGGAAGTCTTTCACTTGCAATTTTGTGACCTAGTGTCAGTCAGAGAGCTGCAATTTATTCATTTGGATTTTAAAAAAAAATCTGTTGTGGGCTATTATCTGTTTTTGTGTTCTTTTCCATCTCAGATTATTTTATTTCCAGTTTTGCAGCTACTGAATAAAAGGACCACCTGGATTTAGTTTACTTATGTTGTCATGCACTGATACTGCAGGAAAAATGGTAATATCAACACTGAAAATGGTGCACATACTTAACATGATCCACAAAGCGGTATTTTATATGGATGCACGTGTTAGGCATTGTGTTTGCGACATGTAAACCACAAATTTGCACTTGTAAAATGCATCTGTTTCTAAGTTTGAAGCCCTGCTGATCAGTTTCCATCACAAATCTGCTTCTCCTTAGGATGTCTTTAGTCTTAGGGAACCAGTATAACAGCTCTATCTCTGTATGTCACCAAAAATTGCTCTATTAGGAAACTGCTGCTACTCCTGTGCAGCTTTTACACATGTTGGAGTTAATAATCTCTGAGCTGAAAAAACTTTGGTATCACCTTCAAGTGCCCTTCAGGTCATCATCACCTTAAATTGCTAATGAAAGCTCCACTAATCACTTTCTGTCACAAGTCTGCTTTCTCACAGGTTTTTGTTGTTTTTACATTTTTAGAGCCGTTATACCGCACAGTGCTTTGTAAACACTGAAATTAGTCATTTCAGATTGAGGTGAATCAAACTGAATCACAGGGAGAGAGATTAAACTGAAATTAAATCAAATTATTGTTAAATCTTTAAACCTCTAATACAGTGTTGCTTACATTTTGACACATGTGGTCAGTTTACCTAAGAAATGCTGAGTTTTTCTTTTTTTGGTAAATCTGTGGTTAATTTATTTAAATCGAAACTATATCAGGTTGAACCTTATAAGGATTTATATATTTGGCTTAACAGCATGCTGTCATTTAAGACGTATCAAATATTTGACGCAAAATTTTAAAAAATTGAATTAGGTTGACTTTATAGGCTTAAAGATTGTTTGTCATTTCAGAATTGTCAAACTGTAGTGGAGTCATCTTTTATGCCTGCTCTTGATTATGTATTGTCATGCTGCTTCAGCAGCTGAATTCTGTTTATCACAGTGCATTACACTTTATTACAAATGATAAA